GTGTGTGTGTGTGTGTGTGTGTGTGTGTGTGTGTGTGTGTGTGTGTGTGTGTGTGTGTGTCCAGGTGGGGGAGGGGAGGCACCACCAGCGGGGCCCTGCCTCCCAGCACAGTTGGGGCAGGCTGCACCTGCGGTGGGGGCAGAGGTGGTCTGTGGGGCCAACCTCAGAAGCATGATGAACCCTGCCTGCGCCTGTCCCCTGCCACCAGGTCACCCTCCTGCACAGGGGCTGCCCCAGGCCAGCCCAGCTCAGGGAGGAGGAATGTGGGATAGCCAGAGGTTGGACGCCCACAGGCGCCTGCCAGCCCACACCCCTGGACCGCTCCCACGCTGGCCCCTGCAGCCCCGCCCCCGGACTCCTCCGCTCTGAAACTCCCACACCCCAGCCATGACCCGGAGCCTGACCCCAGCCTGATGTCCCCTGGCCCTGGATTTCCTCCTTGCTGACACCCAGGAAATGCCTTTTGACGTCAGACCCACAGGGAGCCCTGGCTCACCTCAGTGGTCTGACCCCGGGGAAAGCCCAGCCTGCCCAGGGGATGGGGGCGTGGGGTCCTCCAGCGGAGGGGAGGAACCTCCTCACCACCTCCTCCCCTGGGGGGAAGGGGTCCCTCCCACGGAGCCCCAGGGCTAGGACGGGGCCGGCTGGCTCACGAGCACGGACTTAAAAATATCCCGGCGCACCGGCGCCGCCCCAGGACCGGACGGCCCAGGCCAGGCCGCAGCGGGACCCGGCTCCTGGCCATGAGCCCGGGGGCGGCCCGCGGACCCCGCGCAGGCCCCTCGCGCCCAATGCCTCCCGACCCCCTGGCCGGGCCCACAGACCCGGGCAGAGCCCCGTGTCGCCCTGCCACCTGGGGAAACTGAGACCCGGGCCGGCCCGCCGTCCGTGCGCGCGGCTCCCGCGTCCCTCCTGCGCCGAAGCGCGGACGGGCGCCCGGCGGGGTCCGTAGCGCTGGGTCTGGGACCCCCGCGGAGCGCTCACCTGCTCCTCGCGGCCCGCGCCGCCGCCCGCTGGTCCCCTCGTCCGTCTGCCCGTCTGTCGGCGCCGGGCTCCGGCGGGCGGGAGGGACGCGCGGTGGGGCTGGGCCCGGCCGAACCGGGGTGGAGTCGCCAGGAGGAACCTGAGCGGCAGGTTGGAACCTGGACACCGCGGGAGCGGGGGCGGGGGCGGGACGCGGACGCCCCGCCCACCAGCGCGACCGCCCCGCCCCCTGCTCCAGACCCCGCCCCCACGGGCTCCCCGCGGTGGGTCCCCAACACCCATCCCGCGGACCCCACCCCTGGAGCTGAGCGCCAGCGGGCGGGGCCGGGAGCCCCTCCTCCCCGAGGACACGCAGGGTGAGGCTCTAAGACCTTCCTAGGGCTGTCGGCTGCGCCCCAGCCGGCGTGACGTGTGCCATGGGGAAACTCAGACTGTAGTCCCTGTCAGGTGACTTCAACCCCAGGTCCAGAAGCACAGTCCCCTCTTCATCTGGCCCCTCTGACTGTGTGTCTAAGGGTGGGCGGGGCCCCTTTCCACAACCCAGGCGCTCCTTCTCTCTGTGCTGCCCCAGCCCAGCCTGGGCACCCCTGAGGGATGGGGGTGTCTGGTGGAAAAGTGGGGATGCCTGGGGCCTAGGCTGAGCATGAGTGCCAGGGCAGAGAACCTGTGGGGTGCGGGTGGGTGCTCCAGGGAGTGCCCGCCTCCTTTGGCTCAGGCGTCAACCTCTGCCCACAGCCCGAGGCAGGTGCTCTCCTGAACTGGCTCCCAGGAGGCCCCTGCTCATCCAGCTGGGCAAGGAGGAAGAAGTGGAGAAAGGGCAGGGGGCAGGCCCAGGTGGAGGTGGCACCCCAACCATGTGCAGGAATCCCAAGACTGGCTACTTTTCCTGGGGTGGAGGCAGCGGAAAAGGGTGTGCCAGAGGGCTCCAGGGCTGTGGTCCCAGAAGGGCAGGGCAGTTGGCATGGGTTTGCCCTGGGCTGCCTGAGAGCACTTCCTGAGGAACTCCTGGGGGCAGGGAGGCACATCCACCTGCAGGGTTAGCCACATGGGCTTTCCTAGTCGCCAGGACCCCAAGGGCCGGTCTCCCCACTGGCTGGCTGGGGCATTGCAGAGGGGGTGCAGGAAGTGGCCTTCGTACTCAGGCCCAGCCCAGCCCCATCCTGGTGAGGCCTGGCTTCCTGGTTCTTTCCACTGCTGAGCACTCAGGAGTGAAGATGCCTGCCTGCCCGCACCCTCCCTGGAGGCTGAGCCTTCTGGCAAAATGTGGGCATGCACTCTCGGGAGGGAGCTGCTTCTGAAATCAATGGGACTGCCATCAGGAGGCGGCAGCAGGGGTCCTGGAGCCCAGACTGGTCCTTGGCCACCCCCTGGACAGGTGAACCCCCACCTCTCTGTAGCCAAAGTGATGGGGGTGTCCAGATTCTTGGGTGGGAGGCTACGAGGAACCATTGGTGCAACAGGCCTCATGCAGCTGGGGTCTGCAGGGCGGGGCAAGGTGTCTGCAGACAGCAGGCCAGAGCCCAGGGTGCCAGGGATGTAGACTGCTGAGTCCACACAGGTGGTGCGTAAGCAGGAGGTGCCTTCACGAGGCCCCCAGGTGCACTGGTCTCCAGAGGTCCTACTCGCCCCCAAGGACAGACCGTTGAGGGTGCCACTGCCCTCACTGAGGCTGGCCCTGCGGGGAAAGCGCCACTCCGCTTTGGGGGCTGCTGGGTGAGGCCGGATGGGCGGATGGCCTGGTAGGCCCTGTGCTCCTGCGTCCTGAGGAAGAGCATTGCAGGAGGTAGGCGGCCTTAATCAGGAGAAATGCAGCGAGGTATAAACACTTCTTTATTTTAAAAATACAGTGAAGAGAAACTATATCCTTTCGAACGTAGTTCCAAACAGAAAATGTGCACTCGCAACAAATGGGGCGAAGTCACTAAAAGTTCCAGCTACATTAGGTCTGGGCCCATCCAGCGCTCAGGGCAGGCATCAGTGACCTTCTAATGACTGAGGTTGGGACAGCTGACCCCGAATGGCTGTCACCGACCCTGGGGCAGAACCCCCAACCCCAGAGCTGACCAGCTCCTTTGCATTCCTTTTGGCAGCCAGAGGGCACCGTCTGTCCAGGACTCGGCCTGCTTTGGCGAAAGCCCCGGCCCCTCACACCACCTGCAGTGCTAGGCCCCACCCGTGTGTGTGGCAAGTACAGAACACCCACCTGGGCTGCAGAATGCTGCCCCACAGTGAGAACTCTGGCATAAGGGGACAGGGCAGGGCAAACCCCTGAGGTTTGTGATAATGGCCTGACCACTGGGTTCCCACTCTGGCCCTCAGGGTCAGGGTGGCCAAAACACAGGGACGGAGCAGATGTCCCTGTCATTTCCCACAGAGACGGCTCAGGGTAGTGACTGCACCTGCAGCTGCTCCCAGTAAGATTCATAAACCACCCCTTCCCTTTGTGCATTGGGGGAGGGGATGGCCGGGCTCCCAGGAGGGAGTGCCTGTCCAGGGCTGCTGGCGTTGTCCCGTTAGCTGATGAAGGCGGCGATGGCCACCACCTGCAGGACGGCCTCCAGGCTGTACAGTGTCAGGAGTGTGGCACTGAGGACGGAGTCTGCCCATAGCACGAGGGTCTGCCAGAGCAGGAAGTAGACACATAGTAGGGCGCCGGCCACTGTGAGGACCAGGCTGGCGGCCAGTGGCACCTCGGCCTCCGTCAGGTTGCCCTTGGTGCCTGGAGAGAACAAACATGGTGGGTGAGTGAGTGCCAGGTTAGGGATGCCTGTTCCAGATCCACAACCCGTGTGCACCTGGGAGGGCAAGAGGCTGCAGATCACTGGCCCGCTCCTCGGGGCTTGAGGACGCCCAGTGAAAAACCACTGCACAGGACTCAGTGTCAGGAAGCAGAACACAGAGTATGCTCCTCGGTGAGGAAGACCAGCCTCAGCTGTAACCTCACCCCAGCCTCGGGGTTGGCTGTGGGTGGGACAGGGAGGTCTGGCTTCCTGAAACCGTCCCAGGTGCATTCTGACACTTTTCCCTAATTCCAAGTGGACTGAGGGTATTTTGTTTAAAATTTCCAAAAATATTTTGCGCTGGGCGAAAGGCCAGTCTGAAAAATTTAATGCATACTTATAAAAAACAAAACTGCATATTTCAGAAACAAATGGGTCAGTCATGGAAAATGCCGGTCCCCAGCTGCATCCAGCTGACTGCACGTGCCTAGGGCACTGAGAGGCCGCCAGGGGGCCACTTGGGGAGGGCAGGTGGGCAGATGCCCACTTCTAGCCCTGTTGGCCACCCGGCCATGCACATGGACCCCGGTCCGTGATGACAAACACCAAGCCCCAGCATGCACTCAGCAGGGTGGCTGAGACTGGCCCGTCTACCCTGATGACAAGACCATGGGCAGGGCCTGGCTTCCCTCAGGGCCTCGGTCTCCTTGCTGCTATCTATGCGTGGGTGGGCAGGACGTGCAGAGGCCCCAGAAGTGCTGGCAGAAGCAGGACACGCAGTGTGGTCAGTGCTGATGTGCGTGTGCCTGCAGCAAGGAGCCCGAAGCCCAGGCCCCTGGTGGTGAGCTCTGGGAGGGGGACGGGGCCAAGGTCATGCCGTGCTTCTGCACTGCTGGAGTTCCTGTACCAGACCCTCCAGGCGCCACTGTCCCAGTGGGGACAGGACAGAATTTTCTAGACTCCTCTCCAGACCGCTGGCCAACAGAAGGGGAGCAGGGGTGAGGTGAAGCGGTCAGTGGCTACGTAGGACCTGCTTGCCAACCGGAAGCGCCTGTCCCAGGGTGCTGCCATCTCTTGGACAAAGCTTCTCAATAAACTAATTAATACTTAATTACACTGTAAGGTGAGCCTGAAAGCAACTGGTGAAGAAATTAACTCCCAAGCGTTTCCAAGAGCCACACTCTAAAATGACGCCTGTTTTAAAGGCTCACACCGCCACCTCTGTCCTAAGTGCTTTCCAGTTCTCACGTCCGTCAACTCACCAAAGTACAAGCGAGCTGCTTCCAAAATCCCCAGCAGGAACAGCAGAGTCAGGTCGAGGACCAGGTGACTAGGAGGATAACTGAAAACCTGACCTGCAGACAACAGGCAACAGACCAGAGCTCAGGTTACGGTGGCGGGACAGCTCCACCCGGCCTTTCCACCCCCGGCTTACTTTTGTATAACTTACTTTTGTACATGACCATCAGAAGCGTAGCCAGGAAGTAAAGGGCGCCATAAGCCCCACTGAGACAGAGCAGCATTTGCAGGGGGACCGAAGACAGCTGGCAGGTGGTTAAGGACTCAGCCTAGCAGCCCCAGGGGGCTGGCAAGAGGGGGCTGCTGCGCCACCTAGAGGAGGCGTGCAAACATGCAGGCCCAGCTCAGGCACCCGCAGGTGGCCATGGTGTCACCCACTGGGCATCCATCGATGCTCCTCCTAGTGTCACAGGAGCAGCCGGTCCCAGTGGGCTGGGACCTCCCCCCAAAGAGACACCCTGGCCTAGAACAAGAGGACTGGGCACAACCTTGGAGACAGCAGCACTCTGGGCTGCCTGGGGTGGCATCACCCCGACCATGACCCCAGTGACAAGAGAGAGAAAAAGATTTGTGTTCTTCAAATAAAATATACTTCTCGTTTTGGGGGGGCAGTTAAATATCTGCCACCACCTTTCCTGAGCTCTGTAACGCCTATTTGTTCAGAAGCACAGAAAGTGGGCGTCATTCCCCTGCCCTGCTGGGCCCCAGCGGCTGAGCGGGAGGGTGCCAAGCCAGCTCGCTGCTCCACTCCCAGGCTGGTGCTTCAACTCTCCTAACCTGTTAGTGAACACCCTCCCGCTTAAAAGTGGACATGCCACTCAGAACTTATAGAAAAGGGGGGTGGGGTTAAAGGGGCAAAAAGCAGGTGCTGAGAGCTGGCTTCGGGCAGGTGCCGCGGAGGACACAGCAGCAGGATACGGCCGTGGAGGAAGCGCTCCCTGGAAGAGAAAGCATCAGAAGTTGCAGCGCCCCAGGCCTTGGGAGCGGGACACATGCAACCCCAGCCTCACTCCCCTTTCCTTGCACTATGGAAAGCAGCCCACGTTTTTTGGGCCTGCAGCTAGCTACCTTTCCATCCCCTCTGTGCCTGCCCTGCCAAGGAGGACCAGACAATCTTCTTTTCAGAACCCGAGGCCTGGAGATGGCATGGACCTGGGAGCTGGGGAGCAGAAGTGAAGCTCGGCTCCACCTGAGGCCAGACCAGCCAGGTGAGGCACATTCCCGCTCCTCCGCCAGCTGGGCGGCTGGAAGGAAGGCGCATTGGAAGGCAACCCAACAGCTTTTCCCATCCTCCACGGTTTCCGCATATTTGCCACACGAGTATAATGAAACAAAAACCTTTCCTCATTCAGGTTATGACAAGTTTTTTCATCGCTGACAACAGACATTTTGTTTCCCTCTGGAATTATATTCACTGCCCCAAATATCACTCCAAAAATAAGAATTTCCTGAGCTAGCAACCCAATCTCTGTAAATCATGCCTCTCTTGGACGTTCTCTCATCTCCAAGCAGCTACACGTGTTTCTTTAGGCTGAGATGATGGTGGCCTTGGAGTGAGCGGGGCGTCTCTGCATGTGAAACGGTCCTCAGAATTGGACTCATCCGTGGTCAGACTTCCTGTCTAAAGAGGCTCAAGCTATTTGCACAGTGAGGCATGTACACACATCAATAAATACTTAGAATTTGGCAAGCACCCCCGTTGGAGGTTCCAGCTGCGCCTCGGAGTGAACCTGCGGGCCATTCTTCTGTTCTGATCCACTTCCTCTCTAGTCCCAAGGGGGCTGGAGAGAAGGGCCTGGCCCTGGTGAGTGTTTGTGGGGACGTCAGATCCCTGCGTGGATGTGGGGCCCTCTGCGGACCCTCACCTGGGTGGGAGTCTTGAATGAGTCAGCCCAGGACACTAGGGAGAAATTCAAAACAGCTTGGAGAGGTGGCCCACGCTGAGAGTGGTGGGGGAGGGCGCGAGCGGTTCTCGGATCACTGCCAACTCGCCTCAATTACTGCGGGTGCCCTGCGACCCGATCTGTTCTGTTCCAGGCCCAGGCTGCCGAGATACCTGTCATTATTTGGGTGGATTTCACGTTAATTGGGGTTTACCTCCCTTTTGATCCTTCTCTTGAAGGTCAGCTTCAGACACACTTCAAATCTATTTGCCAGCTGCCCATGTTATAGGTTGAAATTGTGGAGCTCAGGAAAAAAAATACTGTATAAAAACCTTAAGCAATGTGAGATTTAAATAATCAGCATTAAGGGTAGCTACAAACAGAGATGCTGTTTTAACAATTTCAGACCTGCAGGGGCTCATTCTCACTAAATACAGCCGTGGCTTTTAGGACTTAGCATTTTTTGTCCGTGATTTCCTGTGATGACAAGGTGGCTGTTGAGTGGGTGTGTCAGAAGCTAAACGCGGAAGTAAACAGAGCAATGCTCCGCTGAGGTGACAGGCGGGCGTGCCAAGAGATCCAGCTCGGCTACAAACGTCGTTTTTCACCCGATGAAAACACACAAACGTCATTACTGGTGGCCCCGCAGGACCCCCGTGCTGAGAGCTCTGGATCAGGCAGACGACACAGAGCGCCTCTCTCCGGAGGGCCTGCTGGCTGCTGTGACTCGTCCCCTCCTCACATGACAGCCGAGGGCTGGAAACGACGCGTGTATCCGACCGGCTGAAACAAGCCCAGTCCCGAGGCTGGAGTAACCAGCCCCCCTTTTTAGTGCACACGTCGCCCACATAAACGCTGCTACCTGAGTGGTCAGTACTTGACACGAAACAGCGTGAGGGCACATTCCGAGATAAGGGGTGCCCACCGGCTGGTGAGCGGGGCGTGTTTCACGGTGTGCGTTAAAAACTCTCCCAGTTTGTTCCACGCACACCAACGTTTCAGAGAAGTGCACGGCGGACACATTCCCGGGCTGTGACCAGCTCTCAGACCAGGGGTTCGCCACGGCGCCCAGCACTGGTTTCCGGGACACGAGGCTGCTGGCCACGGTGACGGGGTGCCCCTCCTCCTGCCTGGGCCCTGCGATAACCTGCCTCCCACTTGCCGCTGGCGGAATTCGCAGCAGAGCCGCGCAGGAAAGCGGACCCCCGTGCTCTGCTCCCAAGGCCCAGCGCCAGCGCGGAGCCACAGGACCCCGTGTTCCTCCGCAGGTCACACACAGGGCTGGCCCGAGCCCACAGGCTTGCACCCCGGTGCTCCCAGCAGCGCCTGTCACCCCCAAAGTGGAAACACCAACTGGTGGGAGGCGCACCAAAGCGCGGCCCGTGCGCGCTACCGAACACTCTTCAGCCGTGAGGAGGGACGGAGTTGCGGACGCTGGGGCAGCCCTGCGCAAAACGAGGGTGGGGCAAGGCCCAGGGGCCAGAGCGGGCCGACCCCGGCCGGCGGCGGGGCTCGCAAAGAGCCGCAACGACAAATGGCCATGCTGGTCAGCTGTCCAGTTCCACTGAAAACCAAACCGCACCGAGCCCTCCTCCGGGACGGCCTCCGCCGCCCCCCCCCCGGGAACCCCACCCCGAGTCGCGGGCCCCACCCGGGACCCCCCAGGCCCCTGCGGCACCCAGCCGCGACCCTAACCTCTCCGTGCAGCCGCCGCCATCTTGCTCCGGCTCCGCCCGCCCAGTCCGCCGCGATCCCGGCAGCCTCTCGGCCCCGCGCCGCTCGCGTCCTTTCGGCCATTTTCGCCTCTGAGCTCGAAGGGGCCCGACAGCGCCGCGTTTCGAGAATTGATTCGGAGCCGCGGCCGAGGCCCGATTAGCCGGTCCGGCAGCGCTCGGGCACTTTCGTACAAAAGTGGGGGGGAGCCGAGGCTCGGGAGGACGAGAGCTCGGGGAGGTTCGGCTACGTTCGGCTACGCTCGGGGAGACTCGGCTCCCGCACGCGGTGTGGCGGGCGGAGCCTTTGGCGTGAGACTCTCCTGACCAGGCCGCGCTGCGTCGGAGGCCGGCGAGCGTCGGCCCCACGGTTGGCGACCCTGTGGGTCCGGGACGACGACCGGCGCGGGCTCCTAGGCGCTGAGGAGGGCTCGCGCAGAGCCACTCGGAAACCCTCGTGCGGCCTCGGACCAATTCGGACCGCCTCGGCTCCGCACTTCGGGCCGCTTCGGCCCTCCTCGGTTCCGGACTTCTGGCCGTCGGCTCGGCTCGACTGGGCCGCTTCGTGCCGGTTCGGCCTCTGCTCGGGCGGCCTCGGCTGCGCTCGGCCGGAGGGCCCGGCTCGGCTGGGTGCGCGGATTCGGACGGCCTCGGCTAGGCTCGCCTGGGCTCGGCTAGGCTCGGCTAGGCTCGGGCGGCCTTCCTCGGGCGGTGCGCTTCGAGCTCCATCCCGGCCTTCGGGCGGCCCCGGCCGGCGCCTTCGGACGGGCTCGGTGGAGTCCGGATGGAGGACTCGGACTCGGCCGCCAAGCAGCTGGGCCTGGCCGAAGCGGCAGCCGTGGCGGCCGCGGCCGCTGTAGCGGCGGCGGCCGCGGCCGCGGCGGGAGGCGAGGCGGAGGAACCGGTGCTCAGCAGGGACGAGGACTCGGAGGAGGACGGGGACGCGGAGGCGGAGCGCGAGACGCGGCGGGTGACGGCCGTGGCGGTGATGGCCGCTGAGCCCAGGCACATGGACATGGGCACCGAGGCCCTTCCTGGCCCCGACGAGGCTGCCGCGGCCGCCGCCTTCGCAGGCAAGTGCCGCCCGCCCGCGCGCACCTGCCGCGCACACACCTGGAACGACCACCCCACACCTCTCCCGCACACCTGCCCCGCACACACCCGCCCACACCTGCTTCGCACGGCTGCCACGCTCCTGCCCTGCAAGGCCAGCCCACACCTGCCCGACGCACCTGTTTCCGCGCGGGCACGTGCCCACCCACCCTCCCTGAGTACTTGCCTCACACCTGCCTTGTGCGCCCTGTCGTTGCTGCACACCTGCCCTGCACGCACACCTGCTCGCTGAAACCTCTTGTGCCAGTCCACCCCTCACGTTCAGCACTCTGGCTCTTTCTGGAAGCTTCTCAGCATCTGCTGCTTGCCCTGCCTGTCTGCTCCATCTGTCCCGGGTGCTTGTGACACGCAGGGGTAGCGGTCACACGCGGGCCCTGTCCTGGCGGAACCTGGGGTCTGGGGGTGGGCACCTCTGGACAGCCTGAATTCTAAGGGCCAGTTCAGGTGTGACGTAAGGGCGGGAGCAAGACTGCGGTCACCCAGCCCGGGAGGGCCGGCGGCGGCCCGAGGCGGTGACGCCAGCGGTCAGCTGTCTGTCTGCGCCCCCTTTCTGACGGATCTTCCCTTGCCAGGGGAAGGCTGGCACAGGCTGCTGGCCCACGTTTCGCTCCTTGCCACGCAGCACATTCTCATTCTCAAGTTTCGTGGCCCACGGAGCCCCTGGCGGTGGCTCACAGCGCCCTTTAGAGGTGGTCCCAGACTGTGGCCCAAAGGAGGTAGACGCTGTCCCGAGGGTGCACCTCTTCCCAACTGGAGGTTCCCCAGTGGCCCTTGAGGACTTGGAGCCGAGTGCCCCCCGCCCTTGGAGAGTGTCGAGTGGTTGTGTCACATCTGAGGCACTGGCCCCCTGAGGAGCTTCGCAGTTTTCAGAATCCAGCAGCAGCCTCCCAGTCATGGTGTGTGGTCCCTGGGTGTGTGCACGAGAGGCTAAATCAGCCGTGTGTTCACTCGGTGTCCAGTCAGGGGCCCAGCACCCCTGGTCTGCGTGTGGTCTGTTGGGGTTCCTCGGAAAAGTGAAGGAAGAAGGCTTGTGGCTCTTAGGTTCACTTTTCATCACTAAGCTCGCTTAACGTTGGGATTTTGAGCTGTGAAGCTTTTCTTCAGGTGTTCGTCCTTTTTGCCCACTTTTTTCTGAACGTGGACATGTTGATACCACCCATCACGACACCAGGGAGATATAGTGATGCTTTTCTAAGAATTTTATGTGGCTGTGTTTCGTGTGTGTTACATCGGTAGAACTTTTTGTCGTGAATTACTGAGGTCCGGTAGTCTCCAAGTGTAAGTAACTCGACAGGACACGTTGCCTGCTGAGGCCTCCTCCTTGGGCAGAGGGCAGCTTGCCTGGCCTGTAGACCGAGCGTGTGTCCAGATGGGTCCCTCCTGCACGTGGGCTCGCTGGGACCGCAGCATGTGGTCTGGTGGTGGCGACAGACGCTGGACGGGTGTGTCCAGTGCGGTTGGTGAGTGTAGGTTAACGGAATGTGCAGAAGTCTTCCCACCAGTGTTGGCAGAGCACGTGCCCCGTACCAGAGACTGCCCTGGGCATTCTAGAACGCTGTGTGACCCGAGGCGGCCACTGCCTGGCCACGGAGGAGCGTAGGCGAAAGGCTCTGCAGAAGTACTGCCATGGCCGAATGGTGTGGGCATCGTGAGCGGCAATGAGCCGGTGAGGGAGGGTTTGGGGTTGACAGGTGGCTGAGAGGTGGGAGGGAGAATGTGGGGCAGGTGGGGTGCAGCACACCTGTGGACCTTGCAGGGGGTCAGGGACACAGGCAGTTCACCTGATAGTGTGCGGTGGAGGTGAAGGAGGGGCAGAGCC